TGGTCACCATGAACGTCTTCCTCAATTTGACTACTTCAATTAGGTGACCTGAATTCTTCAAGTTTGCAAATCCTGGCTCTGGGTCTTCTATATCTTATTCAAACATCTAGTTTACCTAATTTATTACTGTGTGTGTACTACTCCTATTCTTTCTATAATAAGGCCTTTGGTGCAGTGAGCAGAACAGAACATGATATCAACCAGTGCTCCTAAAATATTCTTCTAGCAAAACAGGTATTGGGGTTTTTTAGCAGGTCAAGATATCTCAGTTAACTCTTTTAGACCTGGTTCCTGTTTCACCCTCTATTCCAGGGAGATTTTACTCGCATGGTTCGCTTGATTGCAGCGCGTGTTTCACATTCATGAATGACTGGTGTGATGGTCTCCATGGTCAGGTCCACCCCTCGATCACGAGCTCATCTGTATGTCGCATCTCTTCCTAGATGTCCTAATGTTTCATTGACCCATCAGGTTATAAATAGCTCACCCTTCTGCTCCTAGTCTAAGTCTACCTGGGCTATTCCAGTCTTGGCAGCCTTATCCACCTGCTCACTGTTCTGATGTTCTTCAGTGGCATGACCTTTGGGCATGTGAGCATCGACATGAGGCACTTTCAGAGTCATGTTTTCCACCCGTGCAGCGATGTCCTGCCGCAACACAGTAACCTAGATGGGTTTACCCCTGCATTGCCAATTGGCCTTCTTTCACTGCTGTAGCCACCCCCACAGGGCCTTAGCCACCATCCAGGAGTCAGTATAGAGATATAGCGCAGGCCACTTTTCTCGTTTTGCAATCTTTAGGGCTAGTTGGATGGTTTCACTTCTGGCAATTGGCTTGATTCACCTTGTCCTTCAGTGGTCTCATTGACTCATCGTGTGGGACTCCACACAGCACTTTTCTACCTCCGATAGTTTCCTACCACACAGCAAGATCCATCAGTAAATAGAGCGTAGCCTCTCTCGTCTTATGATAACTCATTACATGGTGGTGCCTCTTGCGCACCAGCCACCTCCTCAGGCAATGCTCCAAAATCCCTGCCTTCTGACCAGTCCATAATCTCTTCCAGGATTCCTGGGAAATTGGGGTTTCCCATTTGGGCTCGCTGTGTGATCAAAGCTACCCACTTACTCCATGTAGCACTGGTTTCATGATATGTTGAGGGGATGTTCCCTTTGAACATCCAGTGCAGCACAGGCAATCGCGGTGCCAAGAGGAGACATGCTTCTGTTCCAACAACTTCTGAGGTGGTTCGAACCCCCTCATAGGCTGCTAATATCTCTTTTTCAGTTGGAGTTTAGTGGGCCTTCTGATGCTTCATAACCGCGGCTCCAAAATCCCAATGGTCAACCTCGGGTTTCTCCTGGTGTTCTCTGCCAGAGGCTCCAGGTGAGATCATGTTCCCCAGTTGCCATGTAGAGGATATTTTGCACAACTGGTCCTGTTCAAACAGGCTCCAGAGCTACTGCACGGGCTATCTCCTGTTTGATCTGCTCCAAGGTCTGTTGTTGCTCAAGGCCCCACTCAAAATGGTTCTTCTTCCGGGTCACTCGATAGAGGGGGCTCACAATCTGACTGTAACCTGGAATATGCCTCCACCAGAACCCGACAAGGCCTAGGAAAGCTTGTGTTTCCTTCTTGTTAGCTGGTGGAGACATAGTTGCTACCCTGTTGACCATATCCGTAGGTTCATGATGACATCCATCCTGCCATTTTATTCCCAAAAACTGAATCTCCTGTGCAGGTCCCTTGACCTTGCTTTTCTTTAAGGCAAACCCAGCTTTCAGAAGAATCTGAATTATTCTTTTTCCCTTATCAAACACCACTTCTGCTGTGTTGCCCCACACAATGATGTCATCAATATATTGTAGATGTTCAGGGGCATCACCCATTTCCAGCGCAGTCTGGATCAGTCCATGGCAGATGGAAAGGCCATGTTTCCACCCCCGGGACAGTCAATTCCAGGTATATTGGGCACCCCTCCGCATGAAAGCAAACTGTGGTCTGCACTCTGTTGCCAGAGGGTTTAAGAAAAATGCATCGGCAATATCAGTTGCAGCCCACCACTTGGTTACCTTTGACTCCATATTGGAGCTCTAACATGTCTGCTACAGCAGCACTCAGTGGTGGCATTGTTTCGTTCAGGTCACAATAGCCTACTATTAACCTCTACCCTCTGTCAGACTTTTGCACTGGCCATATGGGACTACTGAAAGGTGAGTGAGCCAGGGAGTCTTGGTGCGATATTGCTGCCAGTGCACTGTCCCAGTAGCAATTGGTACATGCTGGTCTTCAACTTGCAGAAATCCCACAATGAAGGGATCTTCTAGAGACCAGGCAGGGTAGATAACTACTTGATCTTCTCTGTATTCACAGTACTTACACCAAAAGTCCTTTGGATCCTTGAAGTATCTTCTTCTGAGGTAACTGATGCCAAGGATACAAGGGGCCTCTGGGCCAGTCACAATGGGATGTTTTCCCCACTTTTCCCTTGTTAAACTCACCTCAGCCTCCAATACAGACAATTCTTGGCATCCCTCTGTCACTCCAGAGAGCCAGATGGGTTCTATGTCTCTATACCCTGATGGCACCAGTGTACACTGTGCACCAGTGTCTACTAAAGCCTTATACTTCTGTGGATCTGGTGTGCCAGGCCATCAAATCCACACAATTCAGTATGCCTGGTCATCCCTTTCCTCCTCCTGGCTGAAGGCAGGGACCCTTTATTCCTGTTCCTGGTCAGAGTGTTCCCTGTCTGACCCTTGCAATGCCAGACCAGAAGTCCCCTTACCAGGATCAAAGGAGGTGATTTCAGTCCTTTCATGTCTGGGAGATCGCTGATTGCCTTCTTGTGTCTGTGGCAACTACACTGAGAGTCTTCTTGGGTGATCCCTTCTTAACAGCTCTCTTCCCTCTCAGTTCACATATCCAGGCTTCCAGATTAAAGGTGGGTTCACCATCCCACTTCCTCATGTCCTTCCCCTGTCCCTGCAGAAAGAACCAGAGTGCACCACATGGCCTGCGTTTGGGGTTTCATTCCCCTCTGACCAGGGCAGGAGAGGACTGATTTCTTGGGTTGCTCCTGAGAGCTGAGGTGCTGGTCCATAGGGGTAAGGAGGTACAGAGATTTTCTTTAAAGTTTTGCAGCCAGGAAGATGCTCTCTCCAGAGTTAGCATATCCATTTCCTGGTAATACATTGCTGACAAACTGTTGGAATATGATGGAGGGGCACTTCCTCCACATGGTCATGGTGCAAGGGACATCCTCTGGATCTTTAGGGATGTCATCACTTTTTAGATTGCTATAGATGACTTCCAGCACTGTTAATTCTCTCAAGTACTGGATACTTTTGTCTGCAGTGGTCCACTTTCCTGGGGAGTTCACAAGATCTTCCTTAAATGGATATCTTGCCCTCACACTTGAGAGGAGTTGTCTCCAGAGACTGCAAATTGCTGCCTCTTTTCCAATTCCTCTTTCAATTCCCTGACTTCTATCAAGGGATCCCAGCTATTTGGCTTCATGGCCTTCCAGTTGCTGACTGTCAACCCCTTTATCCCAGCATCAAAGCAGCCAGGTAGGAATCCACTCACCTGATTGGTGGCTGTAATCTTTTCACAAGTCTTGAAGTTCTGATAAGGTCAGGTCTGATAACTTCGATTTCCTGTTTGATTTGTCTCATTCCTTTCTCCAATTTCTTTGTTGAATGACTGGTTTCTTGATCACACCCTTCTTTTCTTGATTCTTCCTCCTCTTCTTCCTTCCCTTCCTCCCTTTCAAATCAGTGGTATGGATGTGTTGTTCTCTTTGTCCACTTTTTAACTACTGGGGCGATGACTGTAGTTGTTGTGGTTTGAGTCCCTACCTCAACCATAGTGTCCTCCATTGCAGTTTGGGTCCCTGCCTCCACTACAGTCCTCTGAGAGTACTGAACTGCGGCTTGATAGGCACAGGTCAGGCCCCAGTACAGGGCAAGAAGCTGCTGGTTTTGACTGGGGTAGGCAAGGCACCCTTCCATCAGGTGACGTGTCAGTTTGCTAGGGTCAAATACCTGTTCAGGTGTGAAGTCCCACGTAATGGGAGGTGTTAACTGCCCTAGGAACCTGCCCAAATCCTTCCACACACACTGACACACAGGGACCAGGTGCTTCAGGGCACATTTCAATATTGCCTCATCCAAGATTTGTTTTCTCTTACATCAGGACAACACCAGATTCCACAAACCCCATAATGTGCTAACAGTATTAATTAGTGGTATTAAACAGTTCATATAAGGATGAACAAGGACCTCAGGAGCCTGCATAATAAAACCATCCACATTAATCCTGGGTAGGGAGAGGAAGATGTATTCCCTTATCCGTGAAATAACTCACCCAGCACAGCAAGGCAGGACAAAGCTTAGAGCTTGTTTGTATTAGTATGTTCCCAAACTCAGCAAAATAAAGAGATAAGCAGTGCAGCTGACAAACTCCATGTCCCACACACGAGCTTGCTACTCAATAACTACTATTACTATAGCATGCAATACATGCTTTGTCTCACCCCATGTTTGGGCACCCAAAAGACTGTGGTGGGTTGACCTGGGCCAGGTGCCCACCAAGCCACTCTATCACTCCCCTTCCCAGACAGACAGGGGAGAGAAAATAAGATGGAAAATGACTCGTAGGTTGAGGTAAGGCAGTTTACTAAAGCAAAGTGAAAGTTTGTGCATGTAGAAGTGAAGGGAAAATAAAAAAAATTTTATTCTCTATTTCCCATCAACAAGTGATGCCTGACCACTTCCCGGGAAGCAGGGCTTCAGAACGTGTAGCAATTGCTCCAAAGGCAAACATTGTAAATAACGAATGCCTCCCCCCTTCCTCCTACTTTCCTTAGCTTTTATGTCTGAGGTGATGTCATATGGTATGGAATATCCCTTTGGCCAATTTGGGTCAGCTGGTTTGGCTGTGTCATCAGACCTCTGCCTCAAGCCAGGCTATTCTCAACTTTTGTTTCTGTCTTGCAGAATGGAGATGTATGTATTTCAATTCTTCACCCACCTGTAGATGACCCACAAAGTGGAGAGCTGCCCTCTGAGAGGTGGAACCCTACCCAAAATGTCAGGTAACTGTTAATCTGTGATGTACAGCAGTGACCTCAAAGGCCTGTCATCTCTCTCCAAGACTAAGGCCTGTGTTGGGAAAGTTTTGGAACAGAATTTAAGACTTTGGGAGCTTTAAGTCTTGAACTGGATGGGAACCAGACTTATCAAGTTGTCTGAAGTGCTGATGCTGAAGTGTCCTGATCCTGGGGTAACAATGTGGAGACTTCTGTCCTGTTCACAGGGTTTCATGCTCTTAAAACAAATTATCTCAAATGTTCTGCTCTTTCCCAGTCATTGTTCTCCTACAGTTAGATTTTTCAAACTGTTCCATGATACCACTAGTGGAAAAGAACATTTTTGGGTATTTGGGCCCAACAGGAATAACTTGGTACATAATTCTGCTTACTGTTTACCTTACAGTATTTGTGTGTCTCCTGTCCTGCAGTGTGATATCTTGAGCAGTTAGCCAGGTAGCTTTCTTCCTGACAAAAAGACCCAAAGGATCGCTAAGTACCAGAGGCATTTGAGGCTAACCTGTCCTTTTTTTTTTAAACACCAACTGTTCTCCAGAATGGAGTAGGGGATGTAAGAAAGCAAAGGTGGGCTTGAAATCCCCACTCTTCATGCAAACAACTTGCACGAAACAACATGCCAGAACAACCTTGCCTAAGGGAGAAACAGATCCGTGACAGTACTGGAGAGGGTCAGTCTGTATCCAGTCTGGTGCAGTTTGTATCCGATGCTGAGGATGTTTTCAGTCACACATGGTTGAACTTTTTTATAGTTCTGTCCTGTCAGATCCCCTGTGTTGGGATCCCTTCCTGTTACTGTACTTTGTTCACCTTGCTTACCCACAGCAACAGGGTTTGAGTTGGAGGAGACTGTCCAGCTCTTAAGGATATCAGCAGTGATGGAGCTGATCTAATGTGTTGGTCAGGAATGAAGAGTGCAGAGAGTCTCACCTCTAATAGACAATTACCTTGGTGTGTTTAAGTAGCTTTGCAGTGACTTTGGAGTCTGGGGCACTGTAGTGGAAATTGGCTTCTCCTCACTTTCTTGATGGAAGTGTGGTAGAGCAGATGCTACATCCAGATGTGAATTCTTGTCCTTAGCCTCCTCTAGATTTTGCTTACTTTACAGTAATGATGCTGTAGCTGACATGCTGGCTTTGAAACCTGATTGCTGAGAATTCAAAGGCTTTTAAATGAATTCTTGAGTTGAAGTAAAAGATGATTTCTCTTTTTCATGTCATTCCAGTCTGACCAGACAGTTTTTTCCAGAGCTACTGTTCTTTTTCCTACTGAATTATATTATTTGGAAAGTAAATTGTATATGACTCTCCTGATAGCTGTGATGAACAGTCTGGCCAGATGAAAGTGTTTAGTTTCAAAATCTTTCAAGAAACTCTTCATCCAAATGGCCAAGCATTTCCTGGAATTGTATCCCAGATATATGATATGCTTGGTAGATGTGCTCAGCATGCGCTGCTCTGAACTACAGTTGGGGCTGTAGTCTCCTTTAATTGAGTTCTGCAAAGCAGTTGTTATGTACTGCTGTATTTCAAGACTTATTCCTTGTCTCTTGTTCTTCCCTTCCATTCAAATTGAAAACTGTTGCCAGTAGGATCACCTCAGACATGTGAAGCTGTTGTGGTGGTAGCTATAGCCAGGTGGCCAGGTATGTAAGAGCTGTCTGATGGGACTTGCTGTTGAGTTTTGTGCTAGTTGTGACACTGTGTGAGGAACAAAGGGCTCAATCTCTGAATTGCAAAGGGTTGTAGGAAATGCAGAGGGGTCTGGGCGAGGGAAGTGGTGTTTGTCCCTGGTAAATGCCAGCAGAGCAGGGCAGCTATAAATCCAGGAAGGCTTTCTGTCTGCCAGGGGTTATGTGACTGGCTCATTCTGCCTTTGCTGAGTACCAGCAGCTGAATCTTGCTGGGCCCTTGGCGGCTTGCCTGGATGTTGAGCGCAGCAAGGGGAAGACAGTGCAGATGTTTTTTAAGTGCTGCTACAGCAGTCTTGGCACACAGGCTGAGGAGAGGAGAGATCTGACCACAGTTCCAACCTCTTAATACACTGTGGGGCAGGGAAGTCAGTGCAGCCTCATTTGATGCTCTTGGCTCGTAGTGTTGGGGGTAGGCAAAGAGCCTGGCTTTCTGCTGGGAGGCTGAATGTCATGAGGAATAGGCTCACCGAGCAGGTTTCCAACCCTGCACCATCTATGGGTGGTATGGACAAGCTGAATTCTGGTCTGATGCAAGCTTTGCTTCCTACTCTGTCACAAACGTGTACAGACATGATAGTCTGTCATCAGATTAGGTCTTTGAGATTTGTATTGCATCATCTTCCCTACACCAATGACCAGGGTCTGAAGTTCATAAGTATCTTCTCTTACTTCAACTATTGTCCTTAGTGTATTGTGTTTGTGTGGCCAGGTTTTGGTAGCAGAGGGGGCTACAGGGGTGGTTTCTGTGAGAAGCTACTAGAAGCTTCCCCCATGTCCAGCAAAGCCAATGCCAGCTGGCTCCAGGATGGACCTGCTACTGGCCAAAGCTGAGCCAATCAGGAATGACAGTAATGCCTCTAGGATAACATATTTAAGAAGGAAAAAAGTTATTGCACAGATGTAATTGCAGCCTGAGAAGAGTGGAGTGAAAACATGTGAACAACTCTGCAGACACCAAGGTCAGTGGAGGAGAAGGGGAGGAGGTGCTCCAGGCACTGCAGCTGAGATTCCCCTGCTGCCTGTGGTACAGTCCGTGGTGAGGCAGCTGTGCCCCTGCAGCCCATGAAGGTTAACAGGAGTGAAAAGATTCACCTGCAACCCATGGAGGAGACCCACACTGGAGCAGGGGGATGCCCGAAAGAGGGCTGTAAACCCATGGGAAGCCTGTGCTGGAGCAGGGTCCTGTCAGGGACCTGCTGACCTGTGGAGAGAGGAGCCCATGATAGAACATGTTTCCTAGTAGGACTTGTGACCCTATGGGGGACCCACGTTGGAACAACCTGTGCCTAAAGGATTGACCCTGTGGAAAAGTGACCCATGTTGCAGCAGTTCATGGAAAACTGTTGCCCATGGGATGGACTCGTGTTGGAGAAGTTTATGGAGGACTATCTCTCATGGAAGAGACCCCACGCTGGAGCAGGGGAAAGACTCTTCTCCCTGAGCAGCGGCAGGAACAATATGTGATAAACTGACCGTAACCCCCATTCCCCATATCACTGTGCTTCTGGGGGGGAGGAGGTAGAGTTTGGGAAGGAGGGAGGGATGGGGGAAAGGGGTTTTTATTTTACATATTATCCTGCTCTGATTTTGTTAGTAATAAATTTAATTAATATCCTCAATTCAAGTCTATTTTGCCCATGATGGTATTTGGTGAGTGATCTCTCCCTGTCCTTATCTCAACCCATGAACCTTTCCTTATATTTTCTCTCCTCTGTACAGACGCAGAGGGCAGTGATAGAGCAGCTTTGGTGGGTGCCTGGCATCCAGACAGGGCCAACCCACTACACTTAGATATCCTTCATTATTCTTCACTTAAGTTTTGACTTTAAACACGTTTCTGATGCATCACCTAAAGAAGTTGTCAGCATCCAGAATCCATGAATGTGTTCGGTCTGACTGCTGTCGTTATTACCTTTTTCAGGACTATCTTACTGAGTGTAATCTCTTTGCTTAATGAGCCCAACACATTCTCTCCTGCCAATGTGGATGCATCAGTCATGTTCAGGAAATGGAGGGACAGTAAAGGAAAAGACAAGGAGTATGCTGAAATCATAAGGTAAGCTTTGCTGTGTGTGATGCTGTGCTACTGGCCTCCTGCTTTGAATCCTATGACACAGGCTGCTTTCAGAATTTGCTGCAACCAGCTTCTCACTGTGGCTACTCCTTTCAAAATGAATTTTACAGCTTTATTCCAAACCCATGCTTCTGGACAGAAATGGTGCAAAATTCTGGAACAGGAGGACTGGGCTGATCTGTCTTCATATTGTTCTTTTTCAGACTAATGTAGCATGATGCTCTGCAAAACCTATTGGCTAGTATTAAATTCCTGTCGAAGTCCCTGCTTGCCTTTGAGTGCTGCTTGCATTTCTTGGGATGTGATTCAAACTGCCTTCATCCTACTAATTCTGTGCTTAATGCACTCATGAATCATAATCTTGTCCCTCCAATTCAAAGGAATATCAGTAGGATTTGGCAAGTGCTTCCACAGCTGGGTTTGATTAGCTGGAAGAACTGTTCAGTCTTGACTGCCCTTTGCTGAGACATTCATGGTTCATCAGGTGCTGTAGGGAGATGATGTAAACTTGAGCCAAGGTTGCTGTGGAGTGGCAAATGGGCAACCCATACTGCAGTGGGACTGCTGTCATGCTTGCCTGGGGCAAGATGACATCTACATTGACTCTGCTAGCTGGATATAGCCCTGGTTGGAGCTATGCAGGGCTGGCCTGAGCTGTTCAAAGAACCTTGCTGGGAGGTTATCTTAGTCCCGTCCATCTCCATTGGCTTCAGTGGAGCTGGATGTATTACATAAACAGAGTATGGCAAAAGGAGCAGGTGGGTGGGAGTGAAGGGACAGGTTGCTGTCTGTGTCAGTTTGGCCTGGCTCTCTTGCTGAGTCCAAGCTGTCTCCTCCCCCCTCCCACTCTCTCAAGCAAGGGAAAAAAAAAACAAACCACAGAAAACCCGAAAGAAGTCTGGACGAAACAGAATTATATAAAATATATATATATTACATAGATATTTACAATTATATATACAATTTGAATATATTGTGCACACAATAGGGAGCTCCTGGGAGGAAAAAAAGGAAAAGGGAGGGGGAAACAGGGATAAAAAAAACTAAAACAAATATCCTCCAAATATATCCGTTAATAGAGAGCTAGCGAATAAATACAAAAAACCCGAATTAAATACTTCCCTGAACAAGACAGCAGAACCCTGCGAAGCACCAACCAACTCTCCCATGCCTCCCGGAGGGACCGGAGATAACAGCAGGTCTGAGCAGTCAGGCCCTGGCCTATACAAGCAAAGACCGTCTGCGGAGAGACCTGTTGCCTTCAGCCACCGGAAGAGAGAAGAGCCCAAGCTCTCTTATCTGCCCCTTTTTATATGTTGTGTTATGCTAAAGGATGATATGGAATACTTCCTTAGATTTCTGACTCCCGTTGCTAAGGAAGGCCTAAAAAATCCAAAAGCCAACCCACTACATTCTCCACCCCTTATTCCATATAATTTCTTTACGTAACACCTATATCTCGCTCATATCTATACATATATATATAGTCCTTGTTTATTTTTCGAGGCTGTTGTCTGTTGTTGAAGATCAGTATCAACATCAGTTCAGTTCAGATCCTTTGCCTCCTTGGTTACAGTCACAGTTCTGGGTTTAAGACTGGTTTACTGGTCTGGGCCATCTCATCATCGGACATCATTGGATACTGGTATCAGTTTTGTTCAAGTCTTTCTCATTTGGTGTCTGGTTTCCTGCAAAATACAACTCAAAGCACATAATTAGGTTTTCCCCAAGGTTAAGTTTCCTTGAGGCACACACTGGATCTCTCCATCCTTCCTCATTACCCACCCGGTATTTCCGGGCCCTTGAGCAAAAACAATCCCACGAATGGGTTTGTCTCAGCCTGAGGGAGGAGTAATCCAAACAGCATTACCTAACATACCTCTCAGATGGATCGCTGGAACTTTGTCTCCATCTACAGTGTGGAGGGATTCTGCTTGGGCAGGACCAGCTCAGTTGACAGAGCCTCTAGTGTTGACTAGCCAGGTGGCCTTGGCTAAGTGCTTATCCCAGTTTTTGAAAGTTCCCCCACCTAGTGCCTTCAGAGTTGTTTTTAACAGTCCATTACACCTTTAAACTTTTCCAGCAGTGGGTGCATGATATGGAATGTGTTATACCCATTCAATACGATGCTCCTGTGCCCAAGTGGCCACTAGATTATTCTTTAAATGAGTCCCATTGTCTGACTCAATGCGTTCTGGAGTGCCATGTCTCCACAGGACCTGCTTCTCGAGACCCAGAATGGTATTTCAGGCCGTTGCATGTGGTACCGAATATGTCTCTAACCATCCTGTGGTTGCTTCCACCATGGTAAGCACATAGCGTTTACCTTGGCAGGTCTGTGGCAATGTGATGTAATCGACCTGCCAGGCCTCCCCATATTTATATTTGTCCCAACGTCCACCATACCACAGGGGCTTCAACCTTTTTGCCTGTTTAATAGCGGCACAGGTTTCAGTCATGGATAACTTGAGAAATAGTGTCCATGGTTAAATCCACCCCTTGGTCTCATGCCTATCTATAGGTGGCATCTCAGCCCTGATGTCCCGAAGCATCATGGACCCATCGAACTAGGAACAATTTTCCCTTTTGTTGCCAGTCTAGGTCTACTTATGATACCTTGACCTGTGCAGCTCGGTCTGCCTGTCTGTTATTAGCATGTTCTTCATTAGCTCAACTCTTGGATGCATGGGCATCTACATGGCGGACTCTCACATTCAGTTTCTTCACTCTGGAAGTGGTATCTTGCCACAAATCAGCAGCCCAGATGGGTTTTCCTCTACGTCTCCAATTCATCTTTTTCCACTGGTCTAGCCATCCCCATAGGGCATTGGCTATCATCCATGAATCGGTGTATAGGTAGAGCTTTGGCCATCCTTCTCTCTCTGCGATGTCTAGGGCCAATTGGATAGCTTTGAGTTTTGCAAACTGACTCGATTTGCCTTTCCCTTCAGTGGCTTCTGCCACTCGTCAGATGGGACTCCAAACAGCTGCTTTCCACTTCCGACTCCTCCCTACAATATGGCAGGAACCATCGGTGAAGAGGCCATAGCGCGTCTCTTCATCTGGCAGCTGATTATATGGTGGAGCTTCTTCAGCTCGACTCCCTGGCTCTTCTTCTTCTTCATCTGCCAGACTGAAGTTCCCACCTTCAGACCAATTAGTTATAATTTCCAAAATTCCAGGGTGTTTCGAGTTCTCGATTCGGACACGCTGCGTAATCAAAGCAATCCACTTGCTCCACATAGCATCGGTGGCGTGATGCGGAGAGGGCACCTTCTCTTTGAACATCCAGCTCAGCACTGGTAATCGGGGTGCCAGGAAGAGCTGTGCTTCAGTACCAATTACCTCTGAAGCTGCTCATATGCCTTCATAGGCCACTAAGATTTCCTTTTCCACAGGGGTGTAATTGACCTCAGAACCTCTGTAGCTTCGGCTCCAGAAACCCAGCGGTCGCCCTTGCGTCTCGCCAGGCACCTTTTGCCAGAGGCTCCAGGAGAGACCTTTATCTCCAGCTGCAGAGTAGAGTACATTCTTTACATCTGGTCCCATTCTGACTGGTCCAAGAGCCACGGCATGTGCAATCTCTTGCTTGATCTGCCTGAAAGCTTGCTGCTGTTCAGGACCCCATTGGAAATTGTTCTTTTTATGGGTCACAAAGTAAAGTGGGCTCACAATCTGGCTGTACTCTGGGATGTGCATCCTCCAGAAGCCTATGGCTCCCAGAAAAGCTTGGGTCTCCTTCCTGTTTGTTGGTGGAGCCATTGCTACAATCTTGTTGATTACAACTGTTGGTATCTGGCGCAGTCCATCTTGCCATTTCACCCCTAGGAACTGGATCTCTCAGGCAGGTCCCTTGACCTAACTCTTCTTGATGGCAAAACTGACCTTGAGGAGAATCTGGATGATCTTCTGTCCTTTCTCAAAAACTTCTTCTGCTGTGTCCCCCCACACAATGATGTCATCGATGTACTGGATGTGTTCTGGAGACTTACCCTTCTCTAGTGTGGCCTGAATCAGTCCATGGCAAATGGTTGGACTGTGTTTCCATCCCTGAGACAGTCGATTCCAGGTGTACTGAACGCCCCTCCAGGTGAAAGCAAACTGTGGCCTGCACTCTGCCGCTAAGGGAATGGAGAAAAATGCATTGGCAATGTCGATGGTGGCATACCACTTTGTTGTCTTGGCCTCCAGCTCGTGCTGGAACTCCAACATATCTGGCACAGCGGCACTCAACAGCGGCGTGACTTCATTTAAGCCACGATAGTCCACAGTCAGTCTCCATTCTCCATCAGATTTACGTACAGGCCAGATGGGGCTGTTGAAGGGTGAGTGTGTTCTACTAACCACCCCTTGGCTTTCCAACTTCTGGATCATCTTATGGATGGGGATCACAGCATCTTGGTTCATCCGATACTGTCGCCTGTGTACGGTTGTCGTGGCTATTGGCACTTCTTGATCTTTGACTCGCAGTAGTCCCACTATGGAAGGGTCTTCTGAGAGGCCAAGAAGGGCAGACGATTGCTTGGACTTCTCTTCAATCAGCATGGCTACACCAAACGCCCACCAGTAGCCCTTCGGGTCCTTGAAGTATCCTCTTCTTAGGTAGTCCATACCAAGGATGCAAGGGGCTTCTGGCCCTGTCACAATGGAATGCTTTTCCCGTTGGTCTCCTGTCAAGCTCATGTCGGTCTCTACCACTGACAACTCTTGAGACCCTCCTGTCACTCCAGAAATAGAAACAGTCTCGGTACTCTTATGCTCCCATGGCATTAAAGTACACTGGGCTCCAGTATCTATCAAAGCCTGGTATCTCTGAGGATCCGATGTGCCAGGCCATCGAACCCACACAGCCCAGTAAACCTGATTATCTTTCCTTCTCCTGGCAGAAGGCAGGGTCCCTCTACTGGTCTTGATCAGAGCATTTGTCACTGGACTTTGACTTTGGCTTCTTAGAGGCCTTTTTGTCATCGTTGAAGAGGACCTCCATCCTCTTGTGTTTCGGCGATTGCAGTTTCTTTTCTAAAAATTCTGTATCTACCACGTAGACAACTTTCTTGTCAGTGTCCTTTTGTTTCAGTTCCCTCACTCTAGCTTCGAGCTTGGAAGTGAGTTCACCATCCCACTTCTTCATTTTTTTCTCCTTTGCTACGTAGATATGCCCATAGTTGGTTACGTGATCGAGGCTTAGGGTTTTCTTTCCTTCGACATGTGACTGATGGAGACCGTGAGTGAGACCGAGACCAAGATCGAGGTCTAGGTCAAGGTCGTCTTCATCGATCCCGCCATGATCGTCCCATTGGCCTTTCTCTGTAATCTCTATAACTTCTGTCATCTCTGTCTCTAGGGTCATCCTCATATCTGGAGTATTCATGATCTCTCTCCATTCTTTCCCTATCATAGGTGGGTCAGTGCAGGGGATCAGAGGAGTCTTCCAGATTTTCCACTATGCTCCGTATCCAGGAACACATGGTGTCCACGCTTTGTTCGTCCATCTTTGGATGATATGCGGTTATCAAGCAGTAGGTATATGGTTTAGGGGCACCTTTAATTACCTTTTTCCACATCAGTTGTGTGAAGGGAACACTCTCTGGAACTTGGATGTCATAATAGTCTGGATCAGAATAGATGATCTCCAGCATGGTCAATTCCCATAGGTATTGGATACCTTCTTCCGCAGTGTTCCACTTTCTTGGAGATCTCGTCAGATACTCCTTAAATGGGTATCTTTCCCTCACAGCGTGGAGGATTCGGAGCCAAAGACTTGACACCTTTCCCATTTCTTGTTCTATGACATGATCTCAGGCAAGGGATCCCAATTGTTGTGCTTCATGACCTTCAATCACGTGACTATTAGCCCCATTGTCCCAGCATCGCACCAGCCAGGTGAGGATTTGTTCACCAGGCAAGCAAATGTAATCTCTTCGTAAATCTCGAATCTCTCTTGGGGTCAGTGATCATGTAATTTCACTTTCTCGCATTGTTTCCTGTCCATCTCTCCTACTTAGAATCTTTTCCACTTTCCTTTTTACTCTTGCACTCTTATGTGAAACCGCTCCCGCCTCCTCTTTTATGTCTCGTGTGGAGGTGGGGACTGAGCATGCCACGGGAATGAGCTTCTACATCGTTTGCCATACCTATTGGGTGGAGGTAGCGAGTAGTCTTTTGGGTGCTAAGGGCCTCATCCAATCATCCACGCCTCCAAGAGAAGGTTGAGTCTGGAGGGGTAGGGATAATTGTCCCTCAGGTTGAGGGGAACTCTTTAGCCCCTTCTTTACATCTTCTGAAACACTGAATGTGTAGTCAGGATATAAATCGTCAAGTGACAATATACCACAGGTCGTTTGTACTGTCTTTGAACTTTTTTCTCTTGATACCACTCTACTTTCCTTTGGACGCACCCCTAGTTCTTTTGGGTGCACCTCTTCTTTTGAAGTTGCTTCTTCCTCTCTGGCAGCTGCTTCTTCCTCTATTGTGGCCACTTCTTCTTTTCTTGCGGTCTCTCCTTCCTTTGTCACAGCCGCTTCTTCCTCTCTCGCAGCCGTTCCTTCATCCGTTGCTGTCGCTCCTTCCTCGCTTGCAGTCGCTCCTTCATCCATTGCTGCCGCTCCTTCGTCCACTACTTCCTGCATGGATGGGATAGGTCCTTCTACTCTTCCATCTTTTTCTCCTCTTTCTTCTTCTTCTGTGCGTTCCAGTTGTGGAGATGGGTCTGTAGGTTCTGCAGTCTCCCTTGTCCATGTCTTCTTTTTCTTTATAGGGGCAACCAATGACTTTCTGGTTTTTAGCTTGAGTCCCATTTCTAGTGGACTTAGTAGAAACGGCATTGACTTTAAGCTGTGTTTTGGCCCCACTTCCTGTAGACTCAATGGGAACACCACTGGTCTCAAGTGGCATAGTTTGAGCTCCTGTCCCAGCCTTAATCCATTGAAAGTGGTCTACAGCAGCTCGATAAGCACTAGCCAGGCCCCAACACAAAGCGGAGAATCGCATATTCGGATCCTCGTAGGAAAAACACCCTTCTGTTAAACAGCGGGCCATCTCACTAGAATCAAACATTTGTTCTGGCGTGAACTCCCAATTAATGCAAGGTGACACACGTCCTACTAATTTACTGAAATCTACCCAGGCTCCATGCCACCCGGGGACTGACCTGTCCGAAGCCCTTTCCAAAGTTCCAGCGAGTCCCTTTGAGGTGCGATCTTTCCTACAACAGGGAAAGCAATACAACACCATTCTTCCAATTTTAAAAACCACTTCCATTACCTCCATCAATAACAGTATCATTACAACACAATTTAGATAATAATTGGAGTCAGTTGTAACCATGGGGATCTCCTTTACCAGGCCTTTGATGTCGAAATTAAGAAAAGAAAAGTATTGGTAACATTCATCCTCTGGGCCTGGATGTTTCCCAATGGCATAGCCCAGGACAGGCACAAACATTGCCAAAATCAGAAAGGAAATGGGTAAAATGGCCCTTAAAAGGAGAACCCTTGTGCTATGGGACTGTCAGGCGATGCCGGTTTTGGGATCATTGTTATGGTTATCTTCGGAGCTCCTGCGGTAATGGTTAAAGAAGGCAGAGTTAGCACTTCCCATTGTTTACCTTTATTCTTTCTCCATGTTCCCAAACAAACCCCTGTTTATACAAACAAAGTTTTCTTGGCTGCTTTCCCGGTTATTGTTTTGTAAACAAAAACTGGGCTTGTCAGTTTTCCCGGACTCTGGTGGCATTCTCGGACTTTGTTCCAAAAACAATAGATTTGTTTACAAAACAAAACCTGAGCTTGGCTGTCTTCCCAGACAATATTTTCAAAACAGACCAAATTTAACCAAAACACTCAGCGTTCCCCGTACGGGCCACCAATGAAAAATGTGTGTCAGTTTGGCCTGGCTCTCTTGCCGAGTTTAAGCTGTCTCCTCCTCCCTCCTGCTCTCTCATGCAAGGGGAAAAAAAAAACAAACCACAGAAAAACCGAAAGAAGTCCGGACGAAATGGGATTATATCAAAAATATATATATTACATATATATTTACAATTATATATACAATTTGAATATATTGTACACCGATAGGGAGCTCCTGGGAGGAAAAAAAGGAAAAGGGAGGGGGAAACAGGGATAAAAAAACCCTAAAAACAAATATCCTCCAAATATATCCGTTAATAGAGAGCTAGCGAATAAATACAAAAAACCGAATTAAATACTTCCCTGAATGAGACAACAGAACCGTGCGAAGCACCAACCAACTCTCCCATGCCTCCCGGAGGGACCGGAGATAACAGCAGGTCTGAGCAGTCAGGCCCTGGCCTATACAAGCAAAGACCGTCTGCGGAGAGACCTGTCGCCTTCAGCCACTGGAAGAGAGAAGAGAGCGAGCTCTCTTATCTGCACCTTATTTATATGTTGTGTTATACTAAAGGATGATATGGAATACTTCCTTAGATTTCTGACTCCCGTTGCTAAGGAAGGTCTAAAAAATCCAAAAGCCAACCCACTACATTATCTGCTTTCCTCCCTGCCAGGAGGCGGCAACAATACACAGCCCAAGTGCTGCTGAGAGGCAGCAGCCAGAGCCCATCTTGGGGTGATGAGAAACACCTGTTTCCTGCTATCTCCAGGAAGTGCTGGGGTTATAGCTGCATCTCAGGGTGCAGCCACATGCTGACTGCTCTTACCCTCCGGTGGGAGCTCAGAGATGACAAATGCTTGTGGGAATTGCAGTTTTGAACATGTTGGGGTAGTCATCAGTGGTGGAGGATGGCTGTGGATTGCATCTCTGAACCTACCGCAGTAAGTCATCTTAGGAAATCCCCGACCATCCCTTCTGTAGCAAATGTAATGGGATTTGCTCTGAGCTCTGGCAGGTTTCTAATGTGGAGTCCTGCAGAATAATTGATTTCATATGTTGTTGAGAGTGTGTGTGCTGCTAACACCCTTGGAGTGCTTCAAAGCCTAGGCTGCAGGAACTAATGCTGTTTCTAGTGCTGCTTGTGGTGCTTCAGCCAAACATCAGCTCTCCTGTCTCTGAGCTGCCAGGAGGGCTGGACAGGGGCTGGCTGGGAGGTGGGGAGTTGAGCCACGCTGCTGCCAGCACATGGCCCTGCTCATGTTGCTCTACCCTCCTCCCCACAGGAAACAGGTTTTGGCTACCAAAGCTGAGGCTGAGAAGGATGGCGTGAAGGTCCCCACTACACTGGCCGAGTACTGCATCAAAACTAAAGTGCCTTCCAATGACAACAGTTCGGATTTGCTTTACGACGACTTGTACGATGATGACATTGATGACGAAGACGAGGAGGAGGAGGATGCCGACTGTTACGATGATGATGATTCTGGCAATGAGGAATCGTGACCTGCTCCCTCTATGCCCCTGTACTGCCCTGTCAACTCAGGCCAGAAGGGAGCAGTGGTAACCTAGCAGCAGTCCAGCAAAAAAGTGGTGGTGGGAGGGGGGGATCAAGAAAACTTTGTCTCCTGCTGTCTCCTGTTGTATGGATCTGTTTGCTCCTTTTTTATGGACCTCTTAGAGACCCTCCACAGAATGTCTGAATTCTTGCATTCTTAACCCTTTCATCACTGTATTATGATTTCTTTTTAAAAAAGAAACTTCATTTTCCACTTCTCTATGAAATACAGCGAAACAGGTTTGCTTGTGTTTAGATTCTTGAATTAAATTCAGTCTTGCATTGAGATGTTTAATGCATTTAAAGTTGGAACAAACCCATTGGAAGATGGATTTTCAGGTGTTCAAGTGCTGCATTTACTGGGAAGAGCAAATTGCCAGGGTTTAGCTACTCCATTTACAATAATAGCATGTGTACATTCATTTAGCCTTGTGATGGTGGCTTTTCCTTAATGAGGTGTGGGGTGGAGAGTGTAAAGCTACTGTGTGTTGAGCTTGATGGGATATTACTGAAAGGTACAGGAATCTGTTTAGCCTGTTCAAGGTAGGAAATAGCTGGCTCCTGGATCCCCAGAGGACACAATCAGCTTTGTCTCTGAAAAAGGCTTGTGATATGAACCCTAAAATATAAACACTTAACACTTCACATCTGTACAACTGAGCCCTGGGTTGCATTATTTATTTTTTTTCAGACTAGGTTGGGGTTGAAAAAGTTCCATTCTGTTGGAATCTGCTGCCAGCTGCCCCTCTAGCGAGGGAGGAAAACAGAAGTGTATCCCGCTGCCCAGTTGGTCAGCATTCATCCTGAACTTCTTTTTGGCCATGTGAGAGTCCCCTTCCCCAGTGCTCGCTAGTAGCCCTTGCTTCTTCCAGCCCAAGTGCAGTGCTGGCCTGAGCCTTTTTTCTGTTGCTTATGTAGGTCACCTGTTGGTAAATGCAGCTCTGCTGTAGCTCTGTAGGGTTGACAGAAGACAAAGCTCCCTTTGCTACCTGCCTGGGGCGGCCAGGCTGTCCCTGTGCCTGCAGTGGCTGCTGGGACATGGGGCAGAGGGGTGGATAGGTGCCGGGCTCTCCTCTGCCTGGCTGGCTGGGGCACGGGTGGATGTGTGCAGCCCTACAGGAGAAGGTTACACAGTGCTTTAAGGCTGGGAGAGAAAGCCAGCAGCAGGGTTTGACAGCAGCATGCTTCAGCTGATGCCCTGATCCTGTGTGCAGAATCCTCTTCCACAATCCCTCAGCACCTTCACCCTGTTGCAGTGTGCTCTTGTTCAGCTGTGGTGCAGTGCCCTGAATTCACCTTTCACGTGATCCTTGGATTGGCAGCCAGCCATGCCCTCTTGTGCTTAGCCCTGGCAGCTCCAGGAGGAGATTGGAGGTGCTGGCCCTGCTTGGGTGAGGCCCTCTGTTTTGACAGGTACAGAGGCAGTCACCCTGATAAGAACTGTAGGCTCGAGAGTAAACTTTGTTTTGTGATCAGCTTGGTGGCTGTGTCCCAGGATGAGATGAGAGTGAGCAAGATGTGCTGCCTGGAGAGAAGGGGAAGGCAGCCATTGGGGAGGGGAGGAAGGCCTGTGGGGTTCTGTTTGAAGCGAGCAAGGCAGATCTGTTTTCAAAATGTTGCTTGGCTGGGATTTGCTGCAGTAGGAACAGTCCCTACCCTGGGGTGTGTTAGTGTGCATCCCTCTACCCCTGGCAGAGTGAAGGCAGCCCAAGTGGTGAAACCTTGTCCCCGGTGCTCTATGTGATGGTCTGCCCTCCTGCTTGCTTGTTACCTGGAGAGGCAGCTGGACCCCTCCTAAAGCATCCCACATGGGCTCCTTCACGTCATCTTTCCATCAAGGACTAACTCAGTCCCTGGTGCTTTTTGGAGCCAGCAGCAGGGCTCCTCTGCATCTAGTTACAGTGTGGGGCACACCCCCATCCCCCAGATTCATACCAGCCCTGTGAGGGCAGTGCCAGAGTTAGAAAATGAGCCTCTGGCACTCCTGGATGCAGGACTGGTCTCAGGGCCCCACTGGGACAGGAACACAGGTCTCCAGCTTTGGGGGGCTGTTAGGGGCATGAAGGAGCAGAGTATGGCAACGCTGGCTGTGCTGATGACTTGGTTTGAAATTATACTGCATCTTTCAGAATTTCCCTTGTATTTTTTACCATCTTCACTGTATACTCTCCGGTGAGTTGTATTTTGAAGCTTGGTGTTGTAAGATGCATTATCATGACTCTTCTATTACCCTTTCTTAAAGACAAAAAGCAACCTATTTTGAGAGCTCTGACAGTAACCAGACTCATTTCTCTTCCCCACTGCCCTGTGCAGTGTCATTTCTTGTTGACTTGCTGGTTTCCTTTTTTGGGATACCAACTGAAATATGAGGGTATTGTGTTTGGGGTTTTGTTTGGTTTTTTTTTAAACTATTTAAGAAATTGTGGAAAAACATTTACCTGATCTTTGTATTCTGTTTTTTTTCTTAACCTTTTTCTCAGCTCAGCCAGTATTAGTGTTTACATTTGCAACTACCTGCCCTTTCAAATGCAGTTTTCAACCATTCTGAAAACAACAGGGTACACTAGATTTCTTAGTAGTTTTCTAAGCTGAAATCCTAGATGGTTTCCTTTTTTCTTCGGTATAATTTACCAGAAACAATTAACTGATGCATTTTTGTGTTGTCTTACCCTTCAGTAGTTATATTTTGTCTTTTCTGCACATCTGTCTACTAATAAAAATGTGAAATGAAAATATCCCAGTACTGTTACTTCCCTGTTATTTGAGTTGGTTTATTTGCATAGGTTAAAGCTTTGAATAACAGCTGTTCACAAATTCAGTGGTGCTCCAGTATCAATGCCTATACATATACATAAATATCTACAAGGTTATTGGAAAAATAAAGCTGCTGTTTGACAGCTGCCTACACCTAAGAGTAAAGAACAAACTGATTTGGAAAAGCACTTTGGCAAAAGGCCATGGGCTTTGCTGTTATATTTATTTATTCACCTTAAGTCAGCAAAGGAAAGAGCAGGGAGAAGATAGTTCATGGTGTCATATGACTGCAGCAGGGATGCAAGGACTTGGGGTAAAGGTGCTTCTGCCATGGGGCTGGGGTACTGCTGGTGGCCAGTTCCTTGGGAAGGCAGGAGCAGGACACTCCTGAAATGGTCAGACAAGGTGGGGGAAGCTTGTTTTTTGGGGCGAGGTGCTTTGACCTCATGCAGAAAAGTCAGAGTTACCGAAGTAATCACTGCCAACCACCCCTTTGGAGTGCTCGTCCTGCCTGGCGCATGCTGTTCCCCGATGGCTCAAGAGTGCAGAAGTTTTTGGTTTTGCAAGTGCTAAAATTAGCAGGACACATTACAGGCATTGCATTTGCTACAATCGACATTGTTGGCAGCACAGCAACTGCTGAGTCAAATGTGGTTGGGTGTTGCTGTTATGTTGAAACGGCCAAAGCGACATAGAATTTTCTTCCAAAGCAGGGACAGGATAGCAAGAAGGCTGGAAGATTTTTATTGCAACAGGTTGCAGACATTTATACTTTTCACACAACACACACGTCAACTTACTATTGGTGCCTTCATATAAACATACATCAGGCCATACATATGTCAATCTACTATTGGTGTCTTCATGTATAAATACATCAGGATTGGCTGCAAAATAGCAAACTCATGCTGACACAGCTTTTGTCGAGCCATCATGACCCAGCTACAGGAAGTCCGTTTCTGTCTTCCATCTTCTTCCTTTCTGAAGGTTGCCCACATTCCTCTGCATGCTGTGTGTTCTCCTCCTTTCAGGGGTATACTGTAATCTGGTTTATGTCTATTGCTTCGTCGATAAGTGCCAGGCTGCTGACAGACCTGCTGTCACCCCTGACAGTTGGGGCCTGAATGTTTCTGCTTCACAGCCATGCTGGAGGAATGGCGATGGCATTGCAGAGCTGCTTGCCTAGAGGAGTCTCCACATTGGGGAATGAAAATGAACAGGATGGTGCTGTCTGGGCCTTCTGACTGGAATCAGGCCTGCTTGTAGCTCCTGCCTGGCTTCTATAGCACCAGCCTGCCCTGAGCTGCCAGTAGCTTCCTAATCTAGCAGAAGGTGTTGTACCAAAGCCAGGACAAATGCTCCAAGCTGCCCTGCACTGGGCAAACCTGGCTGCCCCTTGTGCAGTGGTTGGGGTTTTTTGGGCGAAGTGGAGTGGGTTTTTTTCTCCATTTCCTTGATGTCCAAGTGCAGCAGAACAACCTTGGCTCTACCATCAGACTGTGAAACAGAGGCTTAGAGAGGAAATTTCTGCAGAAGAGCCCTGCTGGAGCTGACAGGATAAGGAAAGGGGAAAACATCCTGTTTAGGGTTGCCAGGGGAGGGAGGGGAGACAGTAAGTCCCCAACCTGCAGAAACATTTCAGGCCCCAAAACCAGTGGCAGTGGGACAGCAGCTGCCAAGGGCTTTCAGCAGCTGCTGAAGTTTGACCATTATCAAATGCCAGTGCAGTTCCTGTTGTGCTGCTCCAGAGGTAGAAGGAGGTCTGGGTGACTTCTTCCCAGCCAACTAGATCCCACAGAACCTGAGAGGTGATGAAAGTGTGACTAAGAAAAGTGGTCCTCATAGTAGAAACAATTTTTTTTTCCCTTGTAAGAAACAGATTTGGGAAGTGCAAAAAAAGCCCCTCACCTCTTGAATGGACACACATGGCTTCATATTTACCCACCTCCTCTGCTGCACAAGGCCTGGATGCTCAGGAGGATGAGCCTGGGGCAGGAGCTATCCCTCAGATGCCCTCACCACTGACCTTCCTCCTGGTGGATGCCATAGAATTCATGGGCAAAGCAAGGGAGGGCAGTGCTGCTGTGCTCCCTCCTTACCATTCCAGGCTGCTCCACAGGGCCAAAGACAGAGCACAATGCCAGAGGACAGCAAATGCCGAGACACAATGCTTGCAGCAGGAGTGCTCCCCAGGATCCCATCCCCACTGCAGCTGCCTATGAGCTCTCAGTACCAAGGTGCGCTCACCTTTGTCATGGTATTCAGCATCCCCTGCAGACCCATCTCCTGCTCTTACCCTCCCAGCAGGAGGAGGTATAAAAGGACAGGCTGTAAAAGCAAAACTGCTCGAGGCCTTTGAAAATGCAGACAAACACCAGTGACATGCTCAGATATTTATTAGGTGGAGGAAGGGCTAAAAAGAAATTAAACTCTTAAAACGTTCACCGCACTGGTGCAGAACAAGAAGGACCAGGAGTTGCCTCCAGGGTCTTGTTTTAAAAAAAAATGGGGAGGGACAAGTAAAGTTTTCATCAAGTAGCTGTGTCTTTCCTGGGCAGGGTGGCTCAAGGCAAAAAGAGGTAGAAGACAGAGCTTATACTTTTATTTAAGAAACCGCTACATAGTTTTTGCCTCTAATGATGGAAAGGAAGTTGCAGGACCCACTGAGCCATCCAAAGTCTCTTGCTAGAGAAAGAAAACAAAAACCCCAACACCAAAACACACAACCCCCCCCAACAAAAAATTCCAAACAAACAAAAAGCACAAAACAAAAAAAAAAGGCTTTTATTATTAAAAAATTGAAAAATAAAAAGGTGAGGCTGCAGCTCAGGGCCACAGTGTACAAACTGCCCATGAGAGTTCATCTTCCACAGCAGGAGGGAAGAGGGAGGAGATGAAAGAAAGGGGAAGACTCAAAAATTTTCTTTTTCCTTCCCCCCGCCCCTTTTTTATCTCTTTAAAGTAACAGCTATATTGGGGGCTGAGGACAGAAATCAAACCAACAGGACACATCTTGATTCTTTTTTTTTTTGGGGGGGGGGAAAGGCAGGTCTCCTTATTTGCCTGAATTTAGAACTGCATTAAATAAATGGGCTCCAGCTCCAAAAACATGGCACAGTTTGTCTTTCAACAGAGTTATAAAGCTTAAAAAAATGGAAGGATGCCCTGGTGCAGATGGGAAATTAATAAGAAGTTTTCCTACAAAGAAAATAAAACAGGCTGCAAGACGCAGAAAACCACATTTAGGCTCTATTACATTTACAAATACATACATAAATATATTACATACAATAGCAACTCAAAGAGGAAGCAGGCGAATCACATAGAGGATGGCTGGCTGGCTAGCTGCACTTCTCCCCGCACAGACATTTGGCTGAGCAGTTACTTCTATTAATTCTAGGAATGGGGTTTGGCTTTTTTATTTCTCTCTCTTTTTTTTTTTCTCTCTCCTCTCCTTTCATTCTCTCCCCCCTTCCCCGGTTTCAGATTTAGTTTGTCCAGTATGGAGAAGTGCCGTAGGTGGTTTTGGTAGCCTGAGATTTTTGCTGCATGGTGCTGGGTTGATTGCGTTGGCCAGATCCACCCTAGAAATTGGAAAGAAAGGAGAGATGAGCACCAGCACTCCCAGGAAAGCAAGCCTGTCCATACATCAGCAGAAGAGCTCCCACCCAACGCAGCAATGGATCTGTTTCTGCTCTGCAACATCTCTGCATCCTGCAATCCAGGACAGTCACAGAGAAACCAAGCAGAAGTGTGGGGACACACCATCCCACCACCTCCCACCCAAGACAGGTTCAAGGACAAGGACAAGGAAGGAGAGAAGCAGGACAGGACAACAAAGGAGCTCTCCCAAGATGAACGGAGGCGGTGCACCAGCCAAGGATGCAACACATTCAGAAAGAGAAGTCATTTCCTATTTCTGGATTCTAAAGCAGAACACTGTTTTTTCTGGGAACATTTATAGTGAGGAAAGGAAATACATGAGCTGGTAAAACCAAATCAGAAATTGGAGCCAACATGCAACCTGCAAGGGGATGCTTGATTTTTCCCCCAGAATTACAGTACAAGTGCTCACATCTTGCTCTCCTGCCACAGCCAGGGGACATCAATGCCTGCCTTGGCTTCAGACCTCACAGTCCATCTCTCCACACCCCACATTAGGATGGTCTCTTCACAGAATTACACAGCCTGGCTGAGGTTGGCAGGGACCTCTTGAGGTATCTTGTCCAATCCTTCTGCTCAAGCAGGGTCACCAGCTCAGGACCAGACAGCTCCAAGGATGGAGACTCCACAACCTCCCTGGGCAACCTGTGCCAGTGCTTTGTCACCATCCCAGTAAAAAAGTGTTTCCTGATGTTCAGAGGGAACCTCCTGTGTTTCAGCCTGTGCCCATTGCCTCTGGTCCTGTCACTGGGAACCACTGACAAGAGCCTAGCTCCATCCCTTCAGGTATATATATATATTGATGAAACCCCCCCCCGAGCCTTTTCCACTCCAGGATGAACAGTCCCAGCTCTCTCAGCCTTTACTGATAAGAGAGATGATCCAGTCCTTTCATCATCCTTGTGCTCCTTTGTTGGACTCTCCCATACATCCATGTTTGTCTTGTACTGGGGAGCCCAGAACTGGACACGGGACTCACCAATGACGAGCAGAAGGGAAGGATCACCTCCCTTAACCTGCTAGCAGCACTCCTCCTAATGCAGCCCAGGATCCCATTGGCCACCTTTGCAGCAAGGACACATTTTTGGCTCATGGTTAACTTGGTGTCCACTAGAACGCCCAGGGCCTATTCTGCCAAACTGCTTTGGCCCCTAGCATATACTGGTGCATGGGGTTGTTTCTCCCCAGGGGCAGGACTTGCCATTTCCCCTTGCTGAACTTAATGAGATTCCCTCCCCAAGCTGATCAACAGCATCGAGTCTATTAGTCTACAATTGCTGTCAAGGCCCTTTCCCAATGAGCAAAGCAAAAACCCCCAAGATCCTGTTGGGAATCTGCCCTCAGGCATACTGTAGATGTGGAAGGGGCTGACTTACCTGCCCATCTTGATGAAGGTGGTGATGCAGCATCTGGGAATGAGGCTGCTGATGTGCAGGGAGGATATGGAGAAACGGGGCTGGAGCATAACCCGGGGCAGCACCAGGGTTCAGGGGCCCAGTCGATCCGAGACCAGAGGGTAGGCTAAAAGGAGGTGGTGTGCCAGCATGGAATCCCTGCTTGTCAAATGTCTGTACAGGAGGTGAGGAGGACAGCATCAGAGACTGGTGTGAGCAGCCCAATGGTGACCAAACAAGAACAAGAGTGCCCCAGACACATCACCTGAAACTTTCACCAACCCCATGAGCATGCCAAGTTACACCTGAAAGCACTTCATCAGATGAGTTTCAGCTCCTTTTCTCATCCGTTCTTCTGCACTAATGCTTTCAATATTTTATTTCCACAGCTACTATGCCCTTTTTTTCCCTGACCTCTTTTTATTCAGTGGGACATGGGATGGCAGCAGCTGCCTGAAATTAGTCCTTCACACATTATGGGGGCTCAGGCTGGAATTACTTGACCTACCCAGGGCAGCCCAACAAAAACACAAGAACTACTTTTCCTCCCCCTGACTCACTTGCTTTGGGGGATACTTTTACCAAAAGCATTAGTGCTATCACACTTCATTTGCACCCAGGACATAGCACGTGTGGGGAAGCTTGGGCAGCATAGTGCTGCACCTATGTCAGCAGCTGCCATCAGGAGCTGACATGGCAGAAGCAGTGGCACAGAGGGCAAGACTCCTCTCCAACAGCAAACAGAGACAGCATAAGAAATGCCACAGCCTGTTGACCCTGAGACCAACTGGTCTGGGAACGGCCCTAGCCTCCTCCACAAGGGGAGCCATCAGCCTGGCCGCAGACCACAGGGGAGGAGGGTCCAGCATTACTCACCTGAGTCTTGTTATAGACTGAGCCGTTGATATCAGGCACACCCGTGTTACTTGAGGTCACAGAAACACCTGGAAAACAAAAAGCATCCACCAAGAATGGGAAAGTCAACCATCACCTAGCATGAGCCCCATGCTTTTCTCCCAGCACCTTTGGCAGCTTCAGTGGATGCACCTTTGTCTGCAACCACTGCACCCCACACCCTGCTGCTGGCCCACCCAATGGGGTTCTCCATGCTGTCAGAGTACTCCATATGGGAACAGAAGAAATGGCTCGGTTCCTCACTCCCACTGCAAAGCAGGAAACCAGTCCACTGGGATAAATCACCCACATTCACAACCCAGTGGTTACCACTTGGATTCAAATGCACTTCACCAGGCAGCAGCTGGCTGCACCAAACACTCATTTAAGCTCACAAAAAGGCAGCTTTCCCCTAAGATTAGGGGTGCATTTGGCTCTACTGTAGCATTCAAGAACTTTCCAGTAGTGCACTAAGCAATGAGACTCAGCATCTGCCACACATTTGAGCCCTTGTCCTTTTACATCCTGCAGAAGGGTGAGGTCCGCGATGCTCCTCTGCCCCAAGAAAATTAATATCACTGATTCAGGCTGGCTTCCACCTGGACAGTCTGGTGCCATAACAGGCTCAGAAACACTCACCAGCAAGGTGATTCTCAAACCAGCCACTTATTCAGTCTTATAAAGACTGGTTCTGATAATTTCACTTGGATCAGAATAAAATCGGTTGTTCCTTTGGCCAGTAAATCAGAGGACTGGGCTCAGAGGGTGCGCACTGCTCTATGGTTGTTCCCTTCCTAGGACATTGCTCCTTTTTGGATTGCTTCTCCACAGAGGAGAGCGTGATTACCTCTTGGCTGAAGACAGTGTTTCAAATGCACAGCAAATGCTTGGTATTTGCTTAAGTCCAAGGATGAACTAGTTAGCGTTAAGCAGTTAAGTACACACTTCTCAGGTCTAACCAGCATGTGCAGAATAAAGCTTTCATATGAGCTGTGTAAATTCTTCAGCCTTTACAGTCACAAAAGAAACATTTCCAGGCATGAAACAAGGCAATGAGTTACTGATGCCTTAAAATTTATAGAAGATTTTAGTATAGCTCATTAGTACTTTTAGCTCACTAAGTACCTTTGTACAAGATTTCTGAAAATGCTGTTTAACATTCCTTGTCAAGAATTTCAACAGACAAAAGATTTTAGCAAGGTGAAGAGCTACTCATCTGTAGAAATGTACTAAGAAAGAGACATGACAGTCACACCACTTGATATAAGTAGTCAAAGCTACCCAGAGGCCTTGAAGCCATTCAAAGGAGGACAGAGATGACGAGGAAGACAAAGATGAAGATAAAGGGGTGGACATTTTAGGACCACCGACTCAAATTCGGGAGGCAAAGGTGGTACTGTGGCAGGGATGGTTTGGGAAGTGGGTGTAACAGATGATGTAATGTCTAGATATTATAATATAAAAACTGTAGAACCTCTGTAATTCGGGGGTATACTTTGGAAATGATTCCTATGCACCCAGCATGCTGTAAATAAATGAGTGCTTTTTGCTTTCTAATACTCAAAAGAGTTTTAGAGAGTTATTTTCTGGCTTTTAGGCATCATTACAGGGTGTACAGACAGAAGCTAAACAGCCCAGAGATGTATGAAGTGCCCTGTTCAACTCTAACACACGGCTGCCTCAAGTGCCTACCAAGAAACTCAATCTAGTCTTCATTTTGCAGAGAACTATTTCAGCAACAGCATTCAACTGCTTAGGCTTCAAAAACACAGCACTGCTGCAGGATCGCTATATTCTTCAGCAAAAAAACTTTGGCAGAGGTAACAGCTCATCATTTCTCCAATGTATAATTGTGGACAAAGCTGCGCATCAGCCACACAAATCCTTGTGCAAAGTTCAGCCATGAGGTTTAGAAGGAACGCTTGGGCCATTATAAAGCATTTTGTATATGGGAGATGGAGAAACAGCTTGGATCATGACCCTGTTTAGAGTTGGCTGCTGTGTTGACTGTACAGCACTGGGAGTTGGCCCTACTAAATCCCAGTCAAGAGCAACCTCATGTTACCTTTCCCAGGTCCAGTGCCAGCAGATTTGTTTTGTGCTTGAGATGACACATTGTAGCCTCCTTTGCTGTAATCTCCAGCTGCCGCTCCCTGTGTTAAGTCATCATAGCCTGCCAGTGTGTACAAGACAAGGTGTTACAGTGAGCAAGCAGCTCTGCAGACATGCATGTGAAAAGCACAGTGGTAAGCATACCTGTTCCGTAGCCATGCTGCCCATAGCCACTTGCTTGCTGAAAAGGAGTCGAGGTGGTGTTAAGGTTGACTCCATGCTGTTTAGCAGATGCTGGAGGTACCTGGACAAAGGAAGGAAACAGAAGACTTTATCAGGGAACAGCACACAAAACACAAGCTCCCTCTGCCATCTAGTGGAGAAGTCACCTTCCCTTCACGTGGAAAATTCAATCTGGAGCACTGGGCTGACGAGGGACATGGCACTCACACTTCCAGAAGTAAATTGCTTTATGCAAGCCCCAAGTTTTCTGCCAGAGCTGCCCCTCTGATTGCAGCACAACCCTCTCTCAGAACAGGCTGCATATTTCTTTAGAATCATAGAATCATTAAGGTTGGAAAAGACCTCCAAGATCATCAAGTCCAACCTTCAACCAAACACCACAATGCCATTTAAACCATAGCACTAAGTGCCACATCCAGTCATTTCTTGAACACTTACGGGGATGGTGAATCCACTATCTCCCTGGGCAGCCCATTCCAATGCTTAACAACCCTTTCTGTGAAGAAATTCTTCCTGATGTCCAACTTGAACCTCCCCTGGTGCAGCTTGAGGCTATGTCCTCGTCCTGTCACTAGTTGCCTGGGAGAAGAGGCCAACCCCCACATGGCTACAACCTCCTTTAAGGTAGTTGTAGAGAGAATAAGGTCTCCCCTGAGCCTCCTTTTCTCCAGGCTAAACAATCCCAGCACCTTCAGCCGCTCCTCATAGGACTTACTTTCTAGACCCTTCGCCAGCTTCATTGCTCTTCTCTGGACCTGCTCCAGCACCTCAATTTCTTTCTTGCAGTGAGGGGCCCAGAACTGGACACAGCACTCGAGGTGTGGCCTCACCAGCTCTGAGTACAGGGGAAGAATCACTTCCCTGGACCTGTTGGCCACACTGTTCCTGATACAGGCCAGGATGCCATTGGCCTTCTTGACCACCTGGGCACATGCTGGCTCACGTTCAGCCAGCTGGTGACCAGCACCCCCAGGTCCTTTTCCACCAGGAAGCTTTCCAGCCACTTTGCCCTCAGCCTGTAGCACTGAAGGGGGTTGTTGTGACCCAAGTGCAGGACCCAGCACTTCGCCTTATTAAACCTCTTTCATACGCTGACTGTAAACAGCAAATTCTCACCCACAGAATCAAATGAAACATCAACTGCTGCCTGAGGCTGTTACATAAGACACAGTCCTACAGGGCCCTAAAATAGACTCATTTATCTTTCTGCTTGGAGCATCACCTCTTTTCAAATAACATTTTCTTTCCTGAGACTCCATGTTCTCTGACTTAATGGAATCTCCTCCATCCTCAAAAGGATTTCCTAGGCATTCTTGGCTCTTGATTCAACTTTGGGTCTCCCTTTGACTATCAAGAGGGTGCTACAGGCTTTCAGGAACACCAAGTCCATGAGCTGCAGCTGTCTGCTATTTATAGTGATCTGCACAGGAATGCATGAGTTCTGGACTTCTAAATTTCCTATTTTCTTGGGGAAGAGACTGCAGGTATTTTCTCATGCTTGCATGTTTTTGGAGATCCCTTGCAGACTGGGAAATATGACTCTACTCTGCTGTCATGAGACCCCACCTGGAGTACCATATCCAGTTCTGGGGCCCCCAGCACAAGAAAGACAGACTTGTCAGAGTGAGTTCAGAGGAGGGCCATGAAAATGATCAGAGAGATGGAACACCTCTCCCATGAAGAAAGGCTGAGAAAGTTGGGGTTGTTCAGCCTGGAGAAGAGAAGGCTCCAGGAATACCTTATTGTGGCCTTTCAATACTTAAAGGGAGCTTATAAGAAAGACACAGAAACATTTTCTACCAGGGTCTGTAGTGACAGGACAAGGGGAAATGGCTTTAAACTGAAAGAGGGTAGATTTAGATTGGACATAAGAAAGATGTTTTTTACGATTAGGGTGGTGAGACACTGGCACAGGTTGCCCAGAGAGGCTGTGGCTGCCCCATCCCTGGAAGTGTTCAAGGCCAGGCTGGATGGGGCTCTGAGCAACCTGGTCTAGTAAAAGGTGCCCCTGTTCATGACAGGGGTGTTGGAACTAGATGATCTTTAAGGTCCCTTCCGACCCAAACCATCCTGTGATTCTAAGATGTAGAAGGTTTGGGCTGGAGAGATCAAAACCAGAGAGGCACGCAGGGAGGGTTACAGTTTAGGCTGTCACACTTACGAACATGGTTGGCCCGTATTGGAATGCACTGGGTACACCGGGCACACCAGCATAATAAGGTAACCCAGTGTAGCTGTACCCTGGGGGCAGGGTCGGGTTGAGGAATGGCTGCTGAGTTGTATGGTGAGTCTGCGGCTGGTTCTGCTGCGGCTGGGCAAGCGTGGTAGTAGGAGCAGGGGAAGCAGAATCCCCACGGCCAAATTTTGTTATGTCACCTGCAAAAGAATGAACTAATCAGAAAAGCTATCAAAGCTACTCCAAAAGTGGAGAATTCAAAGGATTCAAAACCTCTGAATACAAGTAGACAACTACAGAAGAAGACACATCCTACACTTGAAAGCCTGCAGTTGTTCATGGGAAGCCTTCTCCCAGTCTCTGTTCCTGATGGCCACAGGGACATTGCCTGTTCGTGGCACAGAACTCTATGCCATAGCTAATCCATTGATAAAATGGAGATACCAATACTCACCTATCTCACACAGTCTGAGCAGATTCATTATATCATATCATTGCAATAAAACATGCTAAAAGCAAAAGTATGGCAAATAGCCAAAGAGTAAATAGTTGTTGGGTTAAAGTGTGACTCTCCTGGAGGTTAAACTGACTAGCAAAGTCTCATGGGCTGAAAGCAAGTTAGGATTTACAGGAAGTGATAGGTATATTTTTGTCAATGTCTGTTTGTCAAGCATGACTAGTTGTCTGGTTCCTCACACCACCACAGTTCTGGAGACAATAGCTGAAGGCCAAGAAAGCAAGACTTGCATCGTGGGTCACCTTTTTTAAGAAGTAGGAAAGGAAATTTGGTTATTACCCCAAAAGCAACCTCCTGAGAGAAATGATTATGCAGCAGAAAAACTCCTGAACACTTGCATTTTCTGGCAGCCTACAGAGCAGCATTGTTGAGGAAGAAGAGAACTGCTCACCAAGTGTTGAGGAAGAAGAGAACCGCTCACCAAGTTCACCTTGCTCTGCCATCCTGTCACGCAAGAAAAACAGCCTTTCGTCTTGCATGCAGCAAGCTCCAACAGAAACTCCGTGACATCCAGAACAAGTGGTGGATCAGTCTAGCTGAAAAAACTCAGTTATGTGCAGACACGGGTGATCACAGAGGATTCTATGAGGCTCTGAAAACAGCATACGGGCCTACATACCAAGTCCAAAGACCTCTACTCAGTGCAGATGGTCAAATGCTTCTGACAGATAAAACCTCCATTCTGAATCGATGGTCTGAACAGTTTCAGACTCTTTTCAGTACCAGCTGTGTAGTCCAAGACTCAGCTACTCAGTCCATCACACAACAACCGGTAAAGTATGAATTAGATGCTGCCCCCACTTTAGGAGAAACCCTTAAGGCCATACAGCAGGTGAAAATTGGCAAGGCAGCTGGGGTTGATGGAATTCCACCTGAAGTCTGGAAACATGGGGGCCTTGCACTCCATGCTAAATTTCATGAGTTTGTGGTGCGCTGTTGGGAACTAAGCGAACTACCATCAGACCTTCGTGATGCAGTCATCATCACTTTGTATAAGAAGAAAGGAGTTAAATCAGACTGCTCAAATTACCGAGGTATTACTCTGCTCTCAATTGCTGGCAAAATCCTGGCAAGAATACTCTTGAACAGATTAATACCCGCTATAGCAGAAGGAATTCTACCTGAAAGCCAATGTGGTTTCAGAGCCAACAGGAGTAACACAGACATGGTATTTGTTCTCAGACAACTGCAAGAGAAGTGTAGGGAACAGAACAAAGGTCTCTATGTAACCTTTGTTGATCTCACCAAGGCTTTCGATACTGTGAGCAGAAAAGGTCTATGGCAGATTTTGGAACGTTTAGGTTGTCCCCCCAAGTTCCTTAAAATGATCATCTCACTCCATGAGGATCAGCACGGCCAAGTCAGATATGGCAATGAACTTTCTGAGCCCTTTCTAATAACTAATGGTGTGAAACAAGGCTGCGTTCTCGCACCAACCCTATTCACAGTCTTTTTCAGCATGATGCTCCAAAGGGCCATGGCAGACCTCGATGATCAGGACGGTATCTACATTCGATACTGTACTGATGGAAGTCTGTTCAACCTAAGACGACTGAAGGCCCACACTAAGACCTTAAATCATCTTATCCAGGAGCTGCTTTATGCTGATGACGCCGCCCTTGTTGCACACACAGAAGCAACTCTGCAGCATTTAACATCCTGCTTTGCAGACGCTGCTGAGCTCTTTCGGCTGGAAGTCAGCTTAAAGAAGACAGAAGTTCTCTATCAATCTGCACCTCAGGAAGTCTTCCATCATCCCCATATCACCATTGGCCAATCAGAGCTCAAATCAGTCCAGCAGTTAATTTACCTAGGTAGCCTCATCTCCTCAGATGGTAAGATTGACGGAGAGATAGACAACAGGTTAGCAAAGGCATATAGTGCCTTCGGAAAACTCCATAAAAGAGTATGGCGAAATAAACATCTGAAGAAAAGTACAAAGATCAGTGTTTACAGAGCCATAGTGCTGTCTACTCTCTTATACGGATCTGAATCATGATTCACCACCACCTGGCGACTCCTAGAACGCTTCCATCAACGCTGTCTCCACACAATCCTAAACATCCACTGCTCAGATTATGTAATCAATACATCTGTTCTAGAACAAGCAGCAATCACAAGTATTGAGGCCATGTTGCTGAGAACACAGCTGCGTTGGGCAGGGCACATCTCAAGGATGAAGGACCACCACCTCCCTAAGATCTTGCTTTATGGTGAACTTGCCTCCGGCTGCCACAGGAGAGGAGCCCCAAAGAGAAGATACAAGGACTCCCTGAAACAACATCTCAGCCTTGGCCATATTGATCATCATAACTGGTCTACTCTGGCCTCCAATCGGGAAGTCTGGAGACACACTATCTATAACGCTGCTGACGCTTTTGAGAAAGCACGCAGGATCACTCTTGAGGAGAAAAGACAGCGCAGAAAGAATCGTGCCTTGCAGAGTGTACCACCTAGGTACACTGTGCCTTTTGCAGCCGGACATGTCTATCTCATATTGGCCTTTTTAGCCACCAACGCGCTTGCAACAAGCCTGGGTAGTGCCTTCCCAAATCTTCGTTCGCGAAACCTAGCCATGACAGAGCAACATGCTCACATGTTTTTAGGGAGGTAACATATATCACTCATTCCCAACTAGTATTCCTTTATGTTCGTTACCCAAAAGTATGACAACACTTAATATCATCGTTATAGGAATTATAACACCTATAGCTACAGTTTTAAGCTGTAATCAGATTGCAGTGAAAGAAAACCACTGGCTGAAAATCCTGGATGGCATTAACGTAATCTTTGCACAACGATAACTGAAGAGTAAGAGCAGAAATGACCAAGGGCTTCTTAGACCACGTGCTTTTGGGAATGAAGTCTATCAGATTTGAGAAGGGTGAGGGGGAGCCTGATAGGTGCAGCTCCTCCTGAGGAACACAGAAGTACTAAAATAGCAGTAACAAAGGAAAGCAAGCCAGTCAAATTTCAAGAAGAATGATCAAGCTATGGAATATTTTTCAAGCACCTGTATGTGCTTGGGAAGAACACTAGATGACACTACCATTTAAATTTGTAACAACTTTGCACTTACTCTCAAAGGTTATCCAACTTACTCCCAAGAACCTCCAAGTCACATATGAATTACTGACCAAAATCATGAAGAAAAATAAAATCAATAAAAGAAACTAATCAGTGTCAGAGTTGAGAGAGAGATACTCGCTTTTGTTTGGCTAGTTTGGACTGATGGGTTTAACTGCCTACAGAAGGGAAAAATGACTGCTCTTTCAACAACAGCAGGATGACCAGCACATCTCACTCACTATCCTCGTGTTTAAATAGCACTCACCTGAGTAGGGGTTGTTAACAAGGCTTCCATCTCTGCCTGTCAAGGTTGCAGGAGCAGGGAATGTAATTCCATAGTAATCCTTAGAAAAAGACAACATCATTTATCAATAGCTGAAACCAAAACAGAGCTGGACAACTCTTATGAACCCTGTATTACATGCATAAGAAAATTTTAAAAGGAAGAACTAAAGGAAGTTTGGGTAGCAGCTGACATCGCTTACAGCATAGCTGAAGATTTACCTGAATCCTCAACTTCAAAATAAACCTATTTTACAGACATTTTTAATATCATATGCAAATACTTAATCTCTTTATGGTAAATTAAAGGCAACAACTAAATGCTTACCCCTCCCAACCTTTAGCTCTGAGCTGTCATATTCCAGTGAGACTGTGCCTGGAAAAGCAACAGACCATCAGGGGCCAAAGACCTAGGGTCAGGCCAGGACCATAATCACAGATTGCATGTAGTCTAAAGGTTTTACCATGCCCTGTTTTCTAAAAGTAAAAAACATCAGCTAGGAAATCAGCACAAATACTAAAAAAACTGGTGAAAAAGAGTTACCACCTGATGACTGGAAAATTTAATTAAATTATGTTACAAGAGAACTCAGATCAGTAGTTTCCAAAGTGGAGTGTGCAAGAAAATCCATTGGGGTGCATGAAGAAATTGGGTTTGGTACCATTAATAAATAAGGTTTAAAAGAATTAAAAATAGTGCATGAAAATAAAAATTTGTTCTCATAATTTTTTTTTTATTTTCATGTATGGTTTATAACATACATATTAGTGCAATAGTATACATATATAATTTATAAATAAAAATATATTGGGAGTGCTCACAAATTTTTTACTGATGAGGTGGTGCAATCAAAAAAGGTGGAGACCACTGCCTTAGATCATTCTTCTATAGGAAGGTAAGACAGTCCTCACCCTAGAAAGCTCACACTTCAAGATGACAGGACATGCCAGCAAAACCAAAGCAGCATTTTGTCTCCAGTTTGGGACAAGAGAAAAGTTTGCCTTCCCCTCTTTGGGTAAACTCCACATGTGGGGCTGGTACTCTACTAAGTGATTTTCCTCCTAATTCTCATGGTTTTCTCCTTACCACCTCCAATCCATCAAGAATTAATACTTTAACTACTAAGATATTCATTTCCACACAATCTTCAACACTGGAAAAGCATCTTCCTCCTTCATACCCCTCTCTGCAAATTCCCCAGCACCTTCCACCTTGCTGCATTTCTGTGCATCCCTCCCCTGTCTCCTAAACCCAGTCCTCCATCCCTGAACATGAAACCATCCGGCAAAGATTTAGTATTGCAGGTACTTTCTGTAACTTGAAACAGTGACATATTTCATCATCCTTTCCTTCCCAGGTAATTCCACCTCAGCAACTCCAACGTGAATCACTTAACAAAACACAACCAAATTCCTAATGAAAGTCTTTGCAGGTTACACAAAAGCAGCACTCCCATCTCCTGAGGAACATCATAACACAAAAAGCAGATTTGGAGAAGAGATCTGAACAGGATTCAATGGACATAAACTAGAACTGACACGGTAGCATTTTCCCTCATATAAACCTGACAAAATATAACCAAATCTGCATGAGAACAGGGTCTAAGGATTGCAGTTATTTCCACTGCCCCTCAGGTGGGGGATGTGCTGGTATTGGCTGGGGTAGAGTTAATTTTCTTCCCAGTGGCTGGTATGGGGCTGTGTTTTGGAATTGTGATGAACACGGAGTTGATAATTATAGAAATGTTTTTGTTATTGCTGAGCAGGGCTTGCACAAAGCCCTGAACACCTGCCTGTCTGTGGGAAGCAGTGAATGAATTCCTTGTTTTGCTTTGCTTGTGCATGCGGCTTTTGCTTTCCGTATTAAAGTCTTTATCCCAACCCACAAGTTTTCTTGCTTTTACTCTTCTGATTCTCTCCCCAATTCCACTGGTGGGGGAGTGGGGGAGCAGCTGCATGGGGCTTGGTGCCTGACTGGGTTTAACCATGACAGGAAAACCACATCAGCACTGAATATCCCTATCCCACACACCTCTGCATATACACATTCAAAACAAAAATCATTAGAAAATACTAGTGCAAACCAGTTATCTTTACACTTCATGCCCACCCATAAGAAAACATCAGAAGAGATACTCTGCTCTTCAAACAACACAGCTATTTCCTGACCTACAGAAGGGATGCAGGAGAAGGTGCCTAAAGTCAAAACTGAAATATCAGGAAGAGACTCAAAATGGAAGACAGAAAAGGACTGAAAAATTATAAGTGATCTGATGTAATAGATGTAAGCTATACCAAACAGCTTGCTAGGTACCATGCACACCAGCTAAGGCATTTATAAGATCTCTACTACACAGTCAACCTGAAACAGACTAATAGAAAAGATAGCATATCCCAATGTAATACACACCAAAAATAAAACAAACAAACAAATCCAACCAAAACAAACAAAAAACCCAAAACACAACACAGTGAGAATTTACAGCATCAACATAGACATTAAGAAATTGTAAGTGTAGAAAAATCTTCAGAAGAATTACTCGAGGAGGAAAGAGTTAATGCTCGCTCAAGGAAGCTTTGCTGCCTGGGAAAAAAACATTTTCCCATGAATAATTTTATGTGTTTTCTCTTACTCCTGCCTGCCATGGAGGTTGACTCCCTGTTACAAGACAAGTTCTCACAGACATGCTTGAAGGCCCTGCAGGGGGGGCCAAGTGTGCTATAAAAAAGGCCCCGAGAGAACAAGAGCGGGCATTTTTTCATGCCCAGTGCTTAGCACCGTACTGTTACTGGTTTTGGCTTTCAGAAATAAAATTTTCTAAATAGCCTGGTATCTGGGGTACCTGCGTGCAATTTTTCCCTCACAGAAATTGAATTAAATTTAAAAAGATATGCACATACCCCTCCCCCAACTCACTGTATCAGCAGCCACCAGTACCTCTCACTACTGGAAGCTTCCCAGGAAGCAGTGACAACTTGCATTTGGGACTCTGTTCACTTTCACTTTCCAGATGTGAACAGACCAGTATGTCAAAGACAAATATTCCCAGGAGTTCCTGCATCCCATACACCTAATATTGCCTAATTTCTACAACAAATTCAAAGCACAATAAAAATACCCCAATATCTAAAACCACAAACATTGCATGAATAATCAATGAAAAAACCTTCACAACATTTATGCATGTATTTATAAATATCAACACACTGAGGAAAAACTGGGGGGAGGGGGAAATGACAGATGACCCCAAAAGCATTCTTTAAGATATTTGCAGAGAGGAAAAACCCTTCTACCAGCAAGGCTGCAGCTGCTATAGGGAAAGGTGGGACGAAAAAAAAAAGAAAAAAACCAACAAACTAAAAATGTTTGTCAATAACAAATAAAAGACAACATGCATTAACTAATATATACAAATAATAACAGAGCATAAAATAAGAAAAATAGATGTTGGTTGACTAACTTGAAAATAAAAACAAGCAAGGCCACTCACAAAAGAGACAAAAAGGAAACCCTGAAACACATCCCCAGTACAGCTACCCTAAAAGCCTCTGCTGCCACGCTTTCATCACTCGCTGAACCATAAGAGCACAGTGTGGAAAACTGCCAGGCTTGCTGTGTCAAAATGTGGAGAATTGATGAGACTAGTTGAGCAAGAACATGAGCTGAGCCACTTGCTTATCTTGTACCTGGCTTGCGCAAAGGCATTCCTAACAACTGAATGATGTCCAGGTGGAGGCCTCATAGCTCAGTGTTGTCTGAATGAAGCTAGAAAAACAACCACAGAAGCCTCACAAAGAGCACCCATGTCTCTCTACCAGACATTAGCCTCACACCCCCTTATCTACACATAACAAGCCTTGTTAGAAGCTTATAAAATATGACAGTCTCATCACCTCAAGATTATAAATCTGGTACTTTGCAAACAGTGGAAAGAAGAAACACCTCGTTAAGAGGAGACACTTCACTGATTGCTGGGCAGATTGACAGGTCTGACTCATTCTCCTTTCTCCATTAGCAGGGATGCCTCTTTAGGTAAGAAATTGCATTTACAGATGACACCCAGGTGTCATCTGTGTAAGCTTAATTAAATGTGAAGTTAAGCTTAGTGAACTGTGAATTGTCAACTTAGCTCAATTAATCATTGGCTAGCCTTAGGATATTTAGTGTTAACACAGCAAGTGCATTTATCAACAGCAATTCTGAATCTGTTATATCTGTCACCTCAATAAATTATCTATATTCAACTTTGCGAAGCTGTCTCAGTGAAAGTCTGTGGAGGGGCTCTGTTAGGCAAAAGTCAAATCCATACTCTTAACACACAGGAGCCAGACTTCCCCCCATACCCCGACAGCAGCCCTCAGGAGAAAGAAAGCTAAACTGAAAATGGAAATGCTGTCTAGATGATGATGATGATGAAAGGAAAGCCACCAAACCATATAAAGTTGGCTACCGAGCAGCACCCCAAGCACGCTCTTCACCCTCACCCACCACCAAACCTGACCAGGCTCCTGCCCAGCACCACCCGTACAGGACTCACAGCCCTACCTGCAGCATGGTGCCCCATTGCTCCTGCTCCTCCTGCTGGCTTTTGCCACCTGTGTCCCTGCGATGGCACCTTCCCCAAAGACAGCTTCCAGCTCCTCCAGGCCATGGCCCCCAGCCCACCACAGCCCTGCTACCACCAGCATACACCATTTGCCTTCGACCTCCTCCTCCACATCAACCTCCTACAGCAAGCTGTTGCCACTGCCCTCCACATCCTCCAGCACTTCTTTGCCGTCCTCAGCAGCCTCAGCACTCCCCAACACTGGGATGCCCAGTGAAACGGGAGACAGGCCTAAAAGAGTTAACTGAGATATCTTGGCTTGCTAAGAAACCCCAATACCTGTTTTACCAGAAGAACATTTTAGGAGCACTGGTTAATATCATGTTCTGTTCTGCTCACTGCACCAAAGGCCTTATTACAGAAAGAATAGGAGTAGTACACACATAGTAATAAATTAGGTAAACTAGACATTTGAATAAGATCTAGAAGGCCCAGAGCCAGGATTTTGCAAGCTT